AGTGACTCTAGTGACTCCAGTGATTCTAGTGATTCCAGTTCGTGTAGCTCAAGTGACTCCAGTGATTCTAGTGACTCCAGTGACTCCAGTGATTCTAGTTCTTCATGTAGCTCAAGTGACTCCAGTGACTCTAGTGACTCTAGTGATTCCAGTTCCTCATGTAGCTCAAGTGACTCTAGTGACTCTAGTGATTCCAGTTCTTCATGTAGCTCAAGTGACTCCAGTGATTCCAGTGATTCTAGTTCGTGTAGCTCAAGTGACTCCAGTGATTCTAGTGACTCTAGTGATTCCAGCTCTTCATGTAGCTCAAGCGACTCCAGTGACTCCAGTGATTCTAGTGACTCCAGTGATTCCAGTTCGTGTAGCTCAAGTGACTCTAGTGACTCCAGTGATTCCAGTGACTCCAGTGACTCCAGTGATTCCAGTGATTCCAGTGACTCATGTGGCTCAAGTGACTCCAGTGACTCCAGTGACTCCAGTGACTCTGACTCCTCAGACTCCAGTGACTCATGCAACACCTCCAATCACTCAGATAATGGCTCTGATCATAACAGTAGCAGTCAGGAGAAGAAATAAACACCATAATCTTGAAGGATCATTGAAATAAAAAAGAAATACATGGGTCTTTCAATCACAGATCTTGTAATTTAAGTATTGCTGTCAAAGATATTTAGTTTTTTACTATTTTTGACACAAAATAGAAATATTTAGATACAAGGTTGTGTAGTATTATGGTTTATTGAGGTATTGATTATGAGAGCAAAGGAGCTTAGGTATAAATATTGTATTATAATGTATGGTTCATTGTCAATGTCCATTTTGTGGAATATGTAAAAATTGTTAAGTATAGTATGTTAAATAAACATCAAATATTAAGTCACGTTTCTTGTATTATTTGTAGTTTGATTGCATTTTTGTTGACTTAAATATAATGCATTATTGTTGTTATTATTTTTACCAACTCCTTTTTCCAAGCTGGTACATTCATAACAACCAATGAACTGGACAAAATAGTGTGATGATAGAAGACAATGTAATGAACAATGGTCAGTTCTTCGGATGAGAAGTTAAAAATGAGGTTCTAAATGCTTAATCACTGAATATGCAGTATTAGTTAGTGTTCATAAGAGTACTGGTGTTAACTATGGTGCCCTTCCTAAATTCCACTCTAGACCTCTGCATTCTGGGCTCCCCAAATCTTTCACTTAATTCAACTGATGAAGCTTATTTGTTTTTGCCTTTGGTACTTCATGGTAACTTCCACAGTCAACTAGAAATTCACTATTTTTTAATCGGAAAAGGTAATACATCCGACCACCCAAAAATAGCTTTCGTCCAGGAATTTCAATTCATAGTGTTTGTCACTACGATAACAGTGTGGTAGTGCTGTGATTGCCCACTAAATACAAAGACAGGATGAGATTCTTTCCCAGAAGCATAAGTAAACAGAATGACTTCAGCCCTACAAAGTAATATAACAGTGGTTTAAGACTAAATATACGACCGAAAATAGCATGGTTACCTGCAGCTAGATGATTTCCATTGTCTGGGTGAGAGAAGCAAAGAGAAAAGACATCTACATATGTAGGTTGGTAGTGAAGCACAAGAGAGAGCCAGAACATTAGCCAAGGTCAAAGGTGACTTTTAAAGGCAATGGAATAGTGGCTGGACACCCAACTGGTCTGTTCCTTAAACATCTTGCATCACAGCGCCATCTGGTAGTTGGGAGGGGAGCTACATCCTTATTCATGGCAGTGTGAACACCATTGTCTATTCCCATGAAAATAAAAATAAGCATCCTGAGCTACTCTTTCATTATATAAATAATAATACAAATATTTTATTAGCATTATTCATTTATAATAATATAAAAAACAATATGTATATATATAATGTTATTATATAATTGAGGTTGTAATAAGTGCGTTTGGGAGTTATGGAGTTTTGGTTTACTAACTAGGCCTTTAAAAAATTGGTTGTAAAAGAGGAGGTGTTTCAGAAATTAACGGCCAAGTCCAGTTCCAGGTACAGACATATCATTTCATCTGAAGTTTGTTAGTTCATTTGTTATTTTGTTTTTTTCCCTGTAGTTAACCCAGGTTAATTTATTTTCTGAGAACCTTTCATTCATAGAATTTGCTTTATTCTTGGAAAGTTCTGTCTGCTGCAATTCTCAAGTTTTCTTCACTTTTGTCAATGTGGACATTGGGTTTTTGGGGTGAAGTTCGATTTAAACATTAGGATAAGGTTTAGGCAAAGGTATGGGTTTACTGTAGGGATGGGCTATTGTTAGGGATCAGATAAGAATAAAGTCAGGATTTTAACAGAGATGTCACAATTAAACAGTAATTAGGAAAATGTGTGGTGTTTTCTCCGAGTTCTTTTCTAGTGCAACCAGTGCAACACTGTCTTATTTTTAGCCATTTGTACACCATACACTGCACATAGAGGACCTACTGTAGATTTTTACCAACCAGCTAATAATGCAAACCAGTCATTTATCACAAAGTGCAAATCCAGCAACTAATACTAATACTTTGCAGTTTCATCACAGTTTTAAAGTGAGAGAGCGTACAAGACAATGAAACAAGAGCCTGCAGAGATGAGACAAAAAAAGCCAATGGTTACATTAGAACATATGATTACAAACAAGCAGAGTCATTTGGCCCATCTAGCCTTTACCAATTTATTGATCCAAGGACTGAAAGAAACCAGGGTATCAACTTCAACAACAGGCGTTACGCAAAGAGGGGTCTCCTGTTCTTGATAACATTACATATTGATATGTCTAGATAGTATTATTGTGTTTGCTGAATTCTTTTTCTGGTGAATGATACGTTTTATATAATGATTTGGAACTAGCAGCTAATATTTTAAAAGGCATGCGCTCCCAATTACGTTAAACAATTCTCGGTTCCAAGCCTGTATGAAAGTACACGTCTCTTCTGCATGAAGGGTAGCATCACAATACCATCTCACTATCATCCACTTCTGTCTACAACTCTGAGGTAAGAATTCCAGAATTACTTTTCAGTGTCCTTAATCGATCAATATATTCAACACTAAAAGTTGATTTTTAGGTCAATCTTTGATAAAGTCTTTTTCATTACTAGGCCCTTTCAGGTACAGTAAGAATAAATTCACAACATGCTTTGCCTATCCCGGTTGCAGTGTTAATATTGATTCGACACCTCAAACAAATGTCTTTGATTCTGAAAAAGTAGGAAATCTAGTTTGATCGCAGGAACAAACCCAAATCTGTCCTTAGTGTATATTTTCAGAAACAGGGGGGAAATCAGTGTTTGTTGTCATTGTTCTCTCAAGCTTAAAAATGATAAAGATTTTAATTTTCCTTTTTTATGAAAATCACAATGTTGAAAACACACAATTTTAGAAATTCAAAAATGTAAAAACTAAATTTTTCATAGTACCCATTATACAGTATATATATAATAT